AGGGTAGATGTGCTTACTGTGGTGTGCTGCTGTAGGAATTGCTTCTGTGTTTGCTATAGTCTTGTGGGTCTCATTGTTATCAGCCTTGTTGGCTGCAGAGCTAGGTGCTTGGCACCCGGTCCTAACAGTGGAGGTGCTAGATGTGGGGCCAAAACCCTTCGCCTCTCTGGGGGAAGATGGGGGTTGGGAGAGGGGTTTGTCCTCACTGCACAGTGCCAGGAGTGAGATTTATGGCAAGAATGTGTCTCAGCCTCTCCTACCCATTTTTATGTGGGTATTTTCTCATTCATCTGATATGTAGGAGTCACTTGGCTAGTTTCTAGATCTCTTTCAGAGGGCATTGCTGCAGGCTTGGTGCATATAGTGGGGCTGGGAGCTCAGGATCCTCCTACGTCACCATCTTGGATGACTCCTCTCCACTCATTCTTGTAGAGTGTTTGCCTAGCTTCATGGTGAGAAGGGAGGGATGGGGATGAAGGAAGGAGTTGCCATTCTTTCAATAAGCACTTAATGAGTGCCTACTGTATCTCAGGCATCATAGGCACTTGAGATTATAAAACAATATTTCAGTGTGATGAATGTATAACAGAAGTATGTCCAGTTGTCTGAAAGCTTCAAGCAGGTCATAGTGTGGGCAGATGGCTTTATGCCAGAGGTGACATGTGATGTGAGTCTTGAAGGTTGAGTAGGAGCTTGGCACGTAGGGTTAGGCACACTCCCCTTAGACACTGTAGATTTATTACTCAGAGAGAGAGCAGTCACTGTTTCCAAACCAGTTTGATCGGGTGATGCCACTGAAAATGATTTCCTTTGTGTCTTTGGATAATGTCATTGAAAGTCTAGAAGTCTCAGTTTGCCTGCCTGTTGAATAGGGAGAGCAGCATCTACTACTTAGAACCACTGGGGGGAATGAATCAATTTCCGTGGTTTGCAAGAGCAAGTGTTTACTTATCAGTAAAAGCCTCCAGAGGGAATTTGTGGAAGGAGACGGAGCATGGGGAGGAGAACAACCAGGCAAGAACAGGGAAAGCAAATGGGACTCAACTCTCATTAGCTTGTGATGGATTGATCTTCTGTCACTGATTTCCCAAATGCCCAGCAGTTTCGACCTAAAGCATGTTCAATATTTTAAAACCAATTTAAAACCAATTTTTGAGTTTGCTTTAAAAAAAATTATTGCATTAATCAAAAAGTGCATTAAGTTTAGGGTCAAGGAGCCCAACTGATGGAAAAAGCCTGATTGGGCCCCAGGAGACATGGGCTTGCCTGGCTGGGTAATGTAATGTCAAAGTCCAGAAACCACTCAGCTTTCACGAGAGAATGCTGGAGAGTGGCCACAAACGCTGAAAGGAAATACCTTACAAGTGAATTGAATTGGAAGGAAATGTGAAGAGGGTTAATGAGAGTATTTTGTTGGTATTAGCAGACTGTAGACATGAGGCTGCATCTGAAGCCTTTAGTCCCAAGAAGGGAGCTGCAATTAGATTTTGGTAGTTGGATGCGTAGTGTGTCCTCTTTCAAAGATTTCATCTGTGGAATTGCAGAGGTCATCCGCCTGGAGATCACTCCCACCTGAGAGAAATACAAGGAACAGAAAACAAACTAGCCCTCTTAGAATAAGAGTCCTTCTTTCTCTTACTGAATGGAATTGGGTTTTTTAGTTTGATGAAATAGTTCATTTGGTTCATCCCTTTCCATGTCCAGGAGGAGCTGTGATTGAAATCAAGAGGCTTTGGAGACTTGGTAAATCAGAACATAGAGAATACACTGGCTATTCTGCATTCTTTCCCCTCCTCTCTTCTGCACCTGGAAGGCTGACTCCCACAGGCTGTGTCCCTGGGACCTCTTCAGGCTGGCTTTCAGTTGGGAGACATTAGCAAGAGATCAGAGGGTGGGAGAGAGGAGTAGAGATGTTTGTCTTCATTCCCTTCCTTCTTGGGGCCCACTTCTGTCAATGCTGGACCCTCTGTGATCATACCTCCCGTCAAGAGGCCCCGCCTCCATGGCTCCAGCTCACAGGGTTATTCCCTGTGTGACACCACTCTTGTCCCTTCAGGCCTTGGGTGGTCATGTCTCCTCATTGTTGCTGCACTCTGAGGCCCTCCACATTGCTTGGGTTCTTGAGACCCTTCCCCACCACTGTAGGTCATCCATGACCTTTCAGTTAAAATCTCTTCATGTGCCCATCTGAGTTGAATCCTCTTTCCTGTAGGACCTGAATAAATCAGGGACGTATGGAAAAAGGGCAGCAAACCCCCAAGATGTGCCTTCTGTTCTCAGGCAATGGTGAATAGACAGACTCTTCCAGTTTGGTTGGTCAATTTGCTTTGTTTTCAAATGAGAGGGATATGAGGTTGGTCTAGGAGTTTGAGCCGGGCAGGGTGCAGCCTCATTTCGGGGAGGTCTTATTGCAGGGCCACCTCTTCTTGGATTCTTTCTTGGATATCTCTGTCCTGAATTAACGATTCTTCTTCTAAATTCCTATCATACTGATTTTTGGTGCAGCCAACAATCTCACCTCTGTGAGAGCAGGTACTTTATCCCCAGAGCCTAGCACAAAGCCTAACAGATTATATGAGTTTAATACATATTTGTTGAATAAATGAAAGGATGTATTTTTCTTTTTAGATGCCTATTAAGCATTTATTAAATATCAAGTGCACCAGAGAAGATTTTTGCCTCTTTATCTTTGTCCATGCAGTGTTTTTGTTTGGAATGTTCTTTATCATCCTTCTCCCACTGTCCTTCTGACAAACTCTGACCCACCATCCATGACTTTTCTGGGGAAGTGTTATACAAAGCTATAGATTTCCTGAACTTTGTTTTAGCCTATTACTACCATTACATATTTTTCTGTAAGTCTCCCTTATGACTCTTTTATGTGCTTATCTGCACAATATACTGAAGAAAAATGCACTTATCTGCCATTTTCCAACAAGATGTCTGGTGCATACAAATACTTGGTTTAATGTTTGCTAATGGTGGTCTTGGCAGACACCAGCAATGGATATGGGTCATCTACGCTTCAGCCCAGCTCTAACTTTCTTTCTCCCACTTTCCTGAGTTGAACATTGATGGTTTAATGGTTTAAAATTTGGGGGCGGGGGAGGAGAGCTACCTCAATCTTTAACACCAAGGTTGCTTGGTTCTCCTTGAATGAATAATGAAGGGGAATATTGAGTGGGCCTGGCACTTGGACAACTGTAGGTTAATGGGTTATCTTCTTCACCCTACTTCTACTGTTTTCCAATAGGTAGACATTAAGGTACCACTTCTTGGAAGACTTTGTGCATGTTTGCAGTCATAAGGGCCCAGGGATATAAGATGCTAGACCAACCCCATTTCTCAGAGCCTTGGTCCAGCCTAGCTCTTCTGGGCTACCATGGTCCTGAGGCAGGGTGGGGTCTCATGGTCAATATTATTCCTGACATCAGTATGCAGTGAGTTCATATTTGAATGCCCCTGAGCTAAAATAAAATCAACAGAAAGAGCATTTGCTGCCTCTGTTGCAGAAATGGCAATTCAGATCTAAATCTCCCCGTAGGCTCATAGCCAACATTTTAGAAGCTGATAAGAAGACCTGAATTCACTAATTATGTTTATTGGGTTATGCTAATATTAGTAAATAAATCCACAGAATACCTTACCAAGATATACTTCTTTATGCTCTGATTTTAGGACACTCAGATATTTTAAAGACTTTTTTGATGTTTATTTATATTTGAGAGAAAGGGAGAGAGAGAGAGAGAGAGAGAGGTGTGAGTGGAGCAGGAGCAGAGGGAGAGAGAGAGAGAAGATCTGAAGCAGGCTCATGTGATGACAGCAGAGAGCACAATGTGGGGCTCGAACTCATGAACCGTGAGATCATGACTTGAGCTGAAGTTGGATGCTTAACCCACTGAGCCCCCCAAGCACCCCAGAACATTCAGATACTTTAAATGATCTCCTGTAAAATTAAAATATTCTAAAATTTCCATGTCTATTTATGAGGTTTCTGTCAATAAAGTAACCAAAAGATTTATCTGGGTAGGTTTAATGTTTAAAACCTTATTAGCATCTATATCAGTAGAAAAATAATGAGCAAATTCATCAGCCTTACTGAAATTTTTATTCCTTTCCTCTAAGGTTTGGTTGCTCATAATTAATAAATAATAGAAAATGTATTTGCATTTCCCTAAGCCTGATAGAGTAGATTGGAGAGTAAGGCTCAGTAAACATGTTCTTTACCTAATCCAGACTGAAATACAATTTAGAATAGTTCATGATGTTGCTAAAGACCAGTTATATTCTTGCATCATATCATATGTCTATGCATATCATAGTTTCACCAAGGATTTTAAACAAGCCATATTTGAAAAAGATATACATGTTGGGCTAATACTGATTGATCTGATTCAGAAATTGTTGAATTGCCTGATCTCTCTTCCAAAGACTCCTCTCATCATGCTATCTTCCTTTCCCCTATTCCATATACCCCTAGGGAAAATCTATTATGAAAGTATGGACATGTCCCAATGGCCATCTATAGCCCTACCCCAAGGAGGTGGGTGGTTTTGGAAGGACTTTGAGTGTGAAGTAGCCAGAGCCCAATTCCTGTGGTTGTTGGCTACTTAGTCTGGCTTTGCATTTTTTAAATTTGCTTTGCTTTGCTGATTATTATTTTTAATATAATTTATTGTCAGGTTAGTGAACATACAGTGTATACAGTGTGCTCTTGGTTTTGGGGGTAGATTCCCATGATTCATTGCTTACATACAACACCCAGTGCTCCTCCCAACAAGTGCCCTCCTCAGTGCCTGTCACCCGTTTCCCCCTCTTCCTCACACCTCCCACCAGCCCTCAGTTTGTTCTCTGTATTTAAGAGTCCCTTATGGTTTGCCAACCTCTCTGTTTGAAACTATTTTTTTAAAGATTGAAACCCTCTATGGGATTCAGGAAGCAGCTCTTGTCTCTCTCCTATATTCTGAGCCCTGTTTTGTGACAGGAAGAGGTCACCCTACCTGAGAAACTGCTCCCGAGGCTTCAAATAGGGCGCTGCATTCACCTTCATGGTACGCTTCCTTACAGTCCTGGCAAAAGACGAACTGTGGAAAAACACATGTGTGTTAGGGGTGGGCTTGTTGGCTGCATTTGGACGTAACATGTTTTCCCTTTTCCAAGCGCATTATATTCATCCTTCTGATGTGTGTGATGGCTTCTGCACCAGAGTACTTTTTGCAAAGAGGAAATAAAGTTATATTTTGATGATATTGTTCACTCTTTACTAAACAATGTTCCAAGAACTATAGCAGGGTTTTAAAGATGCATGAGTCATATTTCCTCAAGATGTTTCCAGTCTGGTAGAAAAGATAACAATGCAGATAAATCCTGTAGTAAAGTGTTTTTGGAGTTAGGCTATGAGGGAAATGACTTTATTCAAGAATTTCATATCTAGGTGTGCCTGGATGGCTCAGTTGGTTGAGTGTCTGACTCTTGGTTTTGGTTCAGGTCATGATCTCATGGTTTGTGAGTTCCAGCCCCACACAGGGCTCTGAGCTGACAGCATAGAGTTTGCTTGGGATCCTCTGTCTCTGCCCCTCCCCTGCTCACATGCATGCGTTCTCTCAAAATAAATTAACTTAAAAAGAAAGAATTTCACATCTGGTATCTGTTTACATACATAGAGGATTTCTATGTTCATTAATAGATTTGGTTTTGCAATGAAAGCCTTTTATGAAAAGAAGAAATAAATTGTGTCCCCTGCAAATTCGTATGGGTGAAGTCTTGACACCCAGGACCTCAGGATGTGACTGCATTTGGAAATAGGGTCTTTGAAGAGGTAATAAGGTAAGGTGAAGTCAGCAGAGTGGCCCTCATCCTATGTGACTGGTATTTATAAGGGGGGATTAGGACACAGACACACACGGACTGAGAGACACAGTGTGACACAGTGAGAAGGTGGCTCGAGGGGAGAGGCCTCAGTAGAAACTCAGGGGCTTGTTCTGGGGCTCCTAGCCTGCACTACTGTTTCTTATAGTTTTCTTAAAGATTTTTTTGTTGTTTGAGGCCCCCGGTCCGGGGTGCTTTGTTATGGTGGCCGTAGGAAGCTAATACCTCATCTGGAGCAGTTCTTCTCACCTGGTGATAGTGCCCCACAGAATGGAAGAGACCTGGATCCCAACCAACTGCCCTCCACCTTCCATCTGCAGGGAAGGAAGCTACACGAGTGAAAGCTGGAAAAGGAGGCTGTCCTACTAGCCTCTGGCATCAGTAGACCCTTCTAGAACTACTTCACCGTCACCAGCCATGCTCCCGAGGTTGTGGGCTCTGTGGTAGGACACGTGGGGTTGAAGTCATCACCCCGTGGCCTCCCACTGAGACACGCTGGGAAGCCAACTTGTCACCTGGGCCTCAGTTTCCCCCTTTGTAAAACCAGGATAACAGTAATAACTATCTCCTCCGATCACTGGAAGAGGTAGGTGAAATAATATGTGCTAACACACAAGATGTTCTAACCGTTACGCAGATAAGGGCCAGGGACTGCTTTTCCCCGACCCCATTTCACAGTGGAAGAAGGGGTTGCTTTACTAGAAAACAGGTTCCCTTCAACCAGCATTCTCTAACTCACTGGAGAGAAACAGCTCTCACAAGAGAACGAGTGTGATTAATGAGTTTGGCGTATGGGCAGTGGTGGTGGTTTTATAGCCTCGGCCCAGAATGAACTGATACTCCTCCCATGGAGAGGTGGGTTTGATGCCTCCTCAGGTTGGAGATGGACGTGTTCACTACTTGACCAATAGCACATGGTGGAAGTGATGGTGTGTGGCCTTCTGGGCCCAGGCCTTGAGAAACTGGCAGCTTCCGCTCATGTGAGTGGCTCATGAGAGGCTCATGTACAGAGGAACCAAAACCCCTGGCCAAAAGCACGGGCTGAGTGCAGGCAGCCAGCACCAACTTGCCAACCATATGTCTGAGCCATTTTTCCCGGGGATCTTCCAGCCCCTGGCTGAGTTGGCCCAGCTGACCCCATGTGGCACAGAGACACCCTGTCTTTATGCGACACTGTCCAAGTTACAGCTTTGTGGGAAAAAATGATCGTATAAAGCAAAACAGGAACAGGATTGTTGTTGTTTTAAGTCACTAAGCTTTTTGGTGTTTTTTACCCAGCAATTGATAACCGATATAGTAATGGCACTGAGAATCTGGAAGACTCAAGAAAGTTCTGGAGGCTTAAAAGTTCTCAAATGAATATTCTATAGCATGAGCCAGGAAGTTGGCACAATTTTGCTTCAGATAAGAGTGATTCAAAGCGATAAACAAAAATCACAAACAAACAGGATACCTGCACCTGGGAGAAAGCTCAGCTTTCTCCCCTCCTACATCACCATCTCTCTTTGCCTCAGAAACAGCCCGTCCAAGTACTTTTCCTTCATGCCACGGAAACAGATTTCCTTCCTTCCTCACATCCAATTTCTTGTTTTAACCCCTCATCTGAAAATTGTCTTAATCTCAGCACATACCAAACCAGAAAGGCAAATGTTTTATAAGGAAAAGGTCTCTTTGGATATGATTCAATCTTGGGGCACCTGAGTGGCTCAGCCAGTTAAGCATCTGACCCTTGATTTGGCTCAGGTCATGATCTCATGCTTAGTGAGTTCCAGCCCCGCACTGGGCTCTGTGCTGACAGCTTGGAGCCTGGAACCTCCTTTGGATTCTGTGTCTCTCTCTCTCTATCCCTCGTCTGCTCAAACTCTGTCTCTCTCTCTCTCTCAAAAATAAATAAACACTTGGAAAAAAAAAAAAGATATGATGCAATCTACCTTCTAGCCACCAGTTTCAGGATACTGTTGCCTTATTTCTTCTCACAGCAAAGAGACTGACCCCAGGTTTGTGGGATGTAAACTTTATTTAAAGATGCAGGTTGGCGGGAGAGAGGTATATGTCAGGATGTCTTTACGCAACTCAAAAATACCACCGGGTTTTAATTCCTGACATTTTAATTTTCCCTGACTTGAAAGCTCATCCAGTGAATGGGGAATGAAGTGGATCTTAGGGCTTCCTTTTAAGGTTAAAAACAATTTTTTTTTATTAATGTCTCTGCTCATCTTTGGGTTGGCCTTGGAGCCAATGCTCTGCTCTATGTGCTCATGTTGAAAAAATGTAGACTGTGTGGTTCAATCACTGCGAAGACCTTGCTGTGTGATTTCACCCCAGCGCTTTCTATGGAAGCGAGTCTGATCTCTCGGCGTGACAGGGAAAACGCTTCACATCTTATTAGCTAGTGGATGAGATATAAAATCAGTTTCATGGTAGAGGAACACCCTGAGGTTGATCAGTTTGTCAGAATAAATAGGCCTTTCCTGACACAAAGACATTAAATTCCCTTTCACACTGGTACTACAAAGAATGGACTAAAAAAAAAAATAACAGAAAAGAAGAGCACATAAAATTGAAGGCCTCACCATTTCAGCCTGGCAAAAGGCAAGCAGAAGCTGCAAGAATACACCGGTGATAATTTTACACTAATGTACCTGTTAATTTGCTTCTATTCCGAGAGTACGCCTTAAATACGGGGCGGGGGTGGGGGGTGCTTCTTAGGTAAATAACTTGAATCTGTCTCCTACAAAATGGGGACATATCTAGAAAGTCTGACTTGATCTTGAAAGTGTTCAGGTTTTTAAGTACTCAGAATTCAACCAGGAGCTTGTACAAATGTTTAGAGCCCTCAGTTCCCAAACCGTGCACCAAGGTAGTCTGGGGTGCCAGGACAGGCTCACAGGGGTGCAGTGGGAAATTTTACGTCTTTGAGGAAATTACAGTGATACTATCTGTTGGACACTATGTGAACTACTAACTCAAGGCAGTTCATGATGTGACCGTGGCTTGTGTTCCCCTTGTTTTCGTAACATATCTTTGCAAAAATGGGTTTTTGGTTATTGAGATAGAAAAACAACTAGCATAGGAACATCTGTGCGCGACAGGAGATGCAGTTATTTAAGAGTGAAATAAAAATAGTTTTTCTTTCCATATCTGTGAACTATCCTTACAAATGACTATTAAGTTGCTAAGGTATTCATCTTATTATGTTACTTGGATTTAAGTATTTAATGCACAAAACTGCTTGGACCTAAGTATTTGATAAACAAAACTACGTTTCTTTTGGCCTAGAAGGACCATGAAGAACGTACTGAGTTTCTAGGCGCATGATAAACAGAGGAAGGTTGGGGATCTCCAGCTTGGGTAGGTGCTCCCAAGATAACGTTTTGGGACAGTCTTTGAACACTGCAAGTGGCACAGATATTTCTAGAGAAAGAGCTTGAGGAAAAGACAGATCTGGTTCCAACGTTTTCACATTCAGTCTGCTGACTCTGCATATCCCTCACCTGGGGGCACATGGATCTTGTTCTAACCATATTCAGAAGGCTGCAAATCACCCGGGGACTTGCTCTTCACTAACTGTGGTCTCACATTCCCTAAAAAGATACCTTACAAGTGAATACTAATTGAATGGAAGGGACCGCTGCTCATTTATGTCGTCTTCTCTTCCTGGGCTGTTCTCTCTTGAGCTCTAGCTGATAAATGCCACTAATTTCTTTAGTTAAAAAAAATTAAAACATACGTATAATGTCAGTTCCCTAAACTCTATCCCTTATTAGATTTGATTAGAAAGCAATATATATGGACTGTATTATCTTAGCTCCTACGATGTTAGCTTTCAGTGTCAACTTGACTTGACTATCGTCCCCAATTATTCAATCAAACACTAATCTGGGTACTTCTGGGATGGTAGTTTGTAAGCCCAAAACATCCACACTCAGTCTATTTTAGGAAAGAGAGAGGATCTTAGATCATCTGGGTGCGCCCGATTCAATCTGTCGAAAAGTTTTCAGAGCAGAACTGAGGTTTCCCCGAGAAGAGAGTCTGTCCTCGGACAGACTGTGGGCCAGCCTGCCCCTCCCGGAGGACTGCCTGTGGAAGTAGGATCTGCCCGGTCAGCCCCACAGTCACGTACATCAGTTCTCTACCTGAGCATGTGCATATGGATCTGCTGATATACAGAGAGACCGATCTATACATCTATAGATCTCTGGGGACAGCTGAATATATTTATAGACCTATATCTATCTATATCCTATACAACTACATCTACCTCCTGCTGGTTTCGCCTCTCTTTGGGAATCCTGGCTGATATGACTCAGCTGCTATAGAAAAAAACTTTACTAGGTCAGTTCCTTCTTTTGCAAATGGCTATAACATTTCCATGTAACATTATATAACGACATTAAACAGCTACTTGAGTTTTCTATGTTATTTGCAAAATTGTAGTTGAAATCTCTTTCCGTGTGTGTTTTTTAATCCCAAGTAGGCACAGGACAATGGCTCTTAGAATTCAACATCAGGAACAAGGTCATCACTCCCAACAGCGTGACTGTGACTGTGTCCCTTTATCTGACAATGAATATGCTAATCCAATTCGTTTTTATCTTTGGATTAGCTTAGCTGTCTGGGAGTTTGGTGCCCAACTTTCTGCTTAACTGCATAAACTGGCTCATCCGCGGCGCCTCATATGAGGCATACAGCTTTGAAGCAACTATTTAGTAAATACGAAATTCAATAAGACAAACTGTTTTTCTAAGAAGTAACAGCTAAACTATTCTTACCATTCGAATCATATTTTATTTGCCTTGTAATGAATACATGTCGAGCATTTGCTTTTAGGATGAATGAAGTCTTGGACCCGGGCCATAAATAAAAGAATAGCATACTGTAACATGTATAGCATAGCAGGCATTTATATTTTTAAAAGTCAGATGTACTTATGTTTAAAAATAAAGCCTCTGAAGTCAGAAAGACCTAGGGACAGAGGTCTTTCTCTACCATTTATTGTCCTGTGTGACCCTAAACATCTCTTTCCTTTATTAGTTTGTAAGGGAGAAGTAATAAGGTGATGAATATTTAACACAGGTTCTGGCACAGAGTAGATGCAATCAATGGCTCCCTCATAGAGTTATGATGTGTTTATCATTCAATATCACACCGGTAGAGAAGGCATTTGATTGATGTTGGAGTTTGATTTCCCACATGCCCATAATGGAGACGTTCAAAAGGAGACGCATGTATATTTTCTCACGAGAAGGAATCAAGTGAACAGCTTCCAATGCCATCAGAGAATTCAGTGTCTGCTGATCAATAAAGCTGAGAGCCAGTTGGTGCCTATAAGTAACGACCCTCAGACAAGGGTTTGATCCTTCAAGTTGAATGATGTCTGGAGGATCAAATTTCTTCCTGCCTATTTTCTGTCATGACAGCATCTATTATAAAAGTATTTTATTATCTGCCATTTATTTTTCCCCCATAGCTCTGAAGTTCTGTGTTCAAAGAACAGGAGAGAATCCAATATTATCTTAGGACCCCTTACTATATAGTCAAGGGAAACATCAAAAGCCTGAGGCACACCTCTGTGCTTCTGGGGGAATCAGATGAAATATTTTTCTTTCCAGTAGATGGCAGCACTGATATACATATATGATCTAGCCTTGGTGTGTTAAAAATAGTATATGAAAAGAGTAAGCCTCCCCACGGTGTGATACAAGCTGCTGATAGAAGCAAAATTGTTCTAATAAGACGGTGCAACACAACGGAAGTGGTGTGAGATTATAATGGACTAAAACACAATTTTGAAAAGAAGAAAGTCAGGTTATTTCTTTTCAAGTACACACCATCTTAACAATCACAGAATCTCATGGTGGGAAGCGATCTTAAACTATGCCATGCTCCAAATGTAAACAGACTAAGACAAACTTTTGCACTCAACCTCCCAATGGCTAAAAAGAAATAATTTTGAGGAAGCTGAATATAGCCCAGTGGCTGAATTCCTTTGTATTTTTCAAATTCTATATGAATCATGAAGGGGGGAGTGTGTGCCTGGGTGGCTCAGTCAGTTGAGCATGTGACTTCGGCTCAGGTCAAGATCTCATTGTTCATGGGTTTGAGCCCCACAACAGACTCTGTGCTGACAGCTCAGAGCCTGGAGCCTGCTTCGGATCCTGTATCTCCCTCTCTCTCTGTCCCTCCCTGACTCATGCTCTGTCTTCCTCTGTCTCAAAAATAAATATAAACATTAAAAAAAAAAATGAAGAAGGGTTAAATAGTGCCATCTAGATTCCTTCAAAATACCATGACATTGACCCTTCTCATCCCCCAGATTATTATTGTTTTAGGTTTCCTACCACGGAAGGCCCTTACTTTCCTTGGTTTAGTTTTCATCCACGGGGTCTTAACCAGAACTCTGAGAATTCTCTGTTCTTACATCGTCAGGATCTCATCAAGTATGGTATGTACTCATTCAATCTTTCCGATGTGCGTTGCCTTAATTTATACATCCTCTGTGAGTACAATCTAGTGGAAGACTTTTTTTACCATCTGTCTCTGAACCGGGGACCTACAGAGACCATAAGCTTGCATGATGAAGAAACCATGTCCCCTAGCTGACCCTTAATAAGGCTGACCTCCAAACCTCGAGTCAAGAGGGGCACCTCATAAGTGTTCCAGATGGTGAGGTGGGGGGAGCCTCTGATGATGGTACTGCTGGAAATTGACCTGTCCAATATATAATTATAGACCAAGAGATATAAACTGACTTCCTACTTCAAAATGTTTATAGTTTTTTAAAACCTAAAAACGTCTGCTGGCCATTTATTTCACCTTTAACAGCTTCATGGAGATAAAACTCACAGAGTCATGGGTTTTAAAAATTAGTTTATGTATGTTTTGAAGGGATAATACATGCACACGGCAACCAACTCAAATGGTGCAAAATGTATATGGTGAGAAGTGAGTCTCCCTCCTCCTTGATCGGCTGTGATGCTTCTGGGAGATAATCACTGTCTCCTCTTTGTACCTTTCCAGAAATTTTTCACGCATTCTATTTTAAGGCAAAAATGGTGTATAAAATATTGCATTATGCCTCATGCTTTGCTCCTTGCTTGTTCATTTACTACATTTACAGCCTGCTCTCCATCAGGGCGTGCTGAACAGCCCCGCTCTTCTAAGTAGCTGCACAGTGTCCTCGCTGATAGATGTTCCTTCCTGCATCTAACCAGCCCCTGCCGATGACTATGAGGCCTTTTCCAATATTCTGCCATTATAAACAAAGCCACAGGGAACATCCTCCTCCGAGGGTCAGTTTGCACATGCTCAAGGACATCTGTAGGTTGCGTTTCTAGAAGTGAAATAGCCGGGTCAGAGGGCATGCGGAGTTTAAATTTTGACTGCATCTGCACATCTGGCCTCTGTGGAAGATGAGGTCCATGGTCAGCAGTAAGGCATGTGAAAGCCTGCTCCCGCCTCCACAGCTCGCTGTGGTACTGCTCACGATCCACCGACCATCGTCAAACAATGGCGTGGGAAGAATTTCAAATACACACAGCATTTTTGCTAAGATCCTCTACCCACACTGTATCACCACAGAGTCACCACAGGGTCCTGGCCAAATAACTAACCCCAAGTCGCTTCTGAGTCTTGTGCATTTGGCTGAACCAGGGTCAGCAGCGGCCTGTGGTCCAGCCCCACCTGTCATTTGCCTCCTCCTGGTACCTGGGCTCTGAGACTAGATGCACCAGCCTGTCTTCTTGTTTGCCTTGGCCCGAATTTGGTCTGCCTGCTGGGAAAGGACCTTCAGTGGGTTTGAGCTTGGTGGCTTTAAACACTGATGGTCAACAAACTGGAGGTCCAGGTCAGAGAGCAGGAAACAGGGGACTAGGAAGCACCAGGCTCGGTAGCCAGGGCTGTGTCCTGGACCTGGGGGGGGGGGGGAGGCAGGACAGGGTGATTTATGGCAGTGATGCTTTCCCGAATCCCTCCACTTCCTCCCTCTGCTGTAACCATTTTAATGTTTTTATTTATATTTATTTATTTAATTTATATTTGAGACAGAGAGAGACAGAGCATGAGAGGGGGAGGAGCAGAGAGAGAGAGAGACACAGAATTCGAAGCAGGCTTCAGGCTCTGAGCTGTCAGCACAGAGCCCGATGCGGGGCTCGAACCCACAAATGTGAGATCATGACCTGAGCCGAAGTTGGACACTTAACCGACTGAGCCACCCGGGCGCCCCAGCTGTAACCATTTTGAAGAACAATTCCTGTGGTGACGGTCCTCACCCCCATTCACGGCATCTCCCGGCTCTGGCCTTCACATCATGGCTTTCCGTGTTTCCAAAGGGTAAAGTAGGATTTGGCCACATGCGGGGACTCTTGCATTTATAATGTTCACACCATCCATGGTCGTCTGGACAAACTTCTGGGCAGACACATTTCTGTATCAGACTGAAAATTCCCTTTAGCATCTTGCAAGGCCGGCTCAATTTTGCTTTAAAATCAGCATTTCCCAGACTTTATGGAGCATTTGGCTCCTTCCAGAAACGGAGCACTGGTCACAGAGTATCAAATTCAACACCGCTTTCAAATATTGCCATTCATTAGTGGACCCATTCAAATATTGCCATTAATTAGCGAACATGTCTGAAAATGGCCATTCATTAGTAAAATGCACAACATATGCCTTCTAACATTTTTAACTGGTCTCTAATCCTTGTGACCTTATCATTTACAATCTGTAGCAAGGCACTAGACTTTGCAAAAATGATTGCACTACGCCAGTCAAAACGTTAAATCCAAGCCATATGGCAGTTTGAGCCCAATTCGTCCCATGTGCCCGTGGGCTTCCTTCTGTTCTCTTAGCACAGCGGGTGGACTGACTGCTGTCCTTGCACACCTGGGCCCGACCCCAGAGGGCTTGGGTCAGGGTCAGTTTTGGAAAGGAGCCAGCCAAGTTGGTGGGTTGGTGGTACCTCACCCCCCCTTCCGCCCTGGCCCGGACACATTTTAGAGACTCCCGTCTTTGGAGATTTTGCAGGTTATCAACAATCCATCCACCAATCCATCAGCAGGAGGCGTTACCGCGCACCGAGCAGCTTCCTCGGTGCCTGGGGGGTTATCTGTCCCGCCCCCCACCCCGCAGCCTCAGCTAAAAGTCAGGGTCCTTCTCTCTTAAGCACCGTCTCGATCTTACACGTTCCTCTATTAAATGTCTGCCCCTCTGTGCAGAACTAATCTGGCTTATGGCCTCTTCTACACTGAGAGGACCCGGGTCTTACTCATCTCTGTGTCCCCAAGACCCGGCGTCTGAAACACGGGCGGGCAACGTCTGTTCTGCGCATGCGCGTACGCAGCCCGAGTTGCTGCAGGCTGAGCTGGGGGGCACTGCTCGCGGGAAGGGAAGGGCGGGCGACGAAAGTCCTACGGCCCACAGCCCTGGGCTGAGTCACCTGCAGGAAGCAGGTCTGCAGGCACTCGGAGACGTGGGGGGGGGGTCGGGATGGTGTGTTGGGGGGGGACTCGCAGGGCTTGCCACCCTCTCCCCCCACCCGTCTGCACACAGCTTCTCCGTGTCTCTCCCGCCACCCGTTCCCGCCTTCGTCTTCGTTGTTGGAGAAGCAGCCCTGGGAGAGCAGAGCCGGATTCAGAGCCGCCTGAGGGGGCGGGGGGGGGGTGGGCGAAGGAGGTCGGAGCCCCCGGCGGGGGAGGGGGGCGAAGGAGGTCGGAGCCCCCGGGGGGGGGGGGGGGCGACGGAGGTCGGAGCCCCCAGGTGGGGTAGGGGGGCGAAGGAGGTCGGAGCCCCCGGGGGGTCAGGGGGGCGAAGGAGGTCGGAGCCCCCACGCAGTTTCCCCAGCAGCCCCGCTGCCCACGTGGTCACACGTGTCCGGAGCCGCCTTTCCTCTTTCCCCTTGCTCTGCAGCCACACGCACAGCCCAGGCCCCACATCCTCGGGGACGCGGACCTGCACCTGCCGACTCGGGGGGAGGCCTCTCCGCGCCCCCCCCCAGCACGTGCCCCCGTCCTGCTGGCACAGAACCGGCGGCGGCGTAGCATCGTTCCCGCTCACACGGCATCGCCCCGTTTACCCGGGGCCGGGCCTAACGAGCAGGGTTCCCGGGGTCGGCAGGGGACCCCCGTGTGCGGCATTAACAAGCGGGAGGAGCTAGGAAAGTCTCCGCTTGCAAACACCGGGGTGGGGTGGCGCGGTGAGAATCCAGGCTGAGAACGCGGAGGAAGGACACCAAGACGTTCAACGAGGGGAGTTCTTTCGTGACCTTGGAGCCCACACTTTGAGTGCAATGACGCAACTCTAGCCAGATTCAGAAGCTGAGCCCCCGGGGCGGAGGGGGTGCGGAGGGCTTCGCCGCGGAGGGATGGGACTGGTTTGAAAGCCGAGAAAGAAATCAGAGACTGTGAGATGCTAGAAAGAGAGGGCGCAGCAGGGGGAGGCGCCCCTGGAGCACGTCAGGGCGGGGACACCCAGACCGGTCAGGTGGAGAGGAGGAGGGCTGCGTCTCCGGCTGTGGGAAGGTGACGTGCAGCGCCGGCACCGTGCTGCCCAGAAGGGTGTGTGAAGCAGACCCTGCCTGCGCAACGCAGCTGGGGAGCTTCTGGGGTCAAAGGGGAAGAGGGGGCAGCAGACCTGGAATAGTCATTGTCAGGAGATGACAGAGTGGAGAGAGGCCAGGCCACCCTGAGGACCCAACTGAGGTCACAGCGCTACCCTCTGGCTCCCTGACCAGCAGCATCACCTTCACCTGGGGCTTTTTAGCCCCGGAAGTGCTGAATCAAAATCTGCAGTTCAGGGGCACTGGGGTGGCTCATTCGGTTAAGCGTCTGACCCTTGATTTCAGCTCACGTCATGATTTCATGGTTCCTGGGTTTGAGCCCTGCATGGGGTTTTGAGCCAATAGCACATGGAGCCTGCTTGGAATTCTCTCTCTCTCCCTCTCTCTGGTCCCCGCATCCGCTCACATGTTGCTTTCTCTCCCTCTCTCTCAAAACAAATAAACTTAAAAAGAAAAGAACCAGCATTTCAGCACAAGCCCTGTCTTGTGCACGTGTACACAGAAGGTTAGAAGCACTGCTCTAGCTTGTACACACAACAAAAATGTACTGAGTATGCACACTGTGTGCCCAGCAGCCCATGGGTATACGGAGGTGTAGAAGATATAATTCCCAGTCTTGTATGAGTCACCGTTTGCCCTCTCTCTTTCCCTCCCTTCCTCTGCCCAGCCCTCGGTCCACTCAACAGGTATCCATGGAGAGTGTTCTGGTGCCATGCTAGGCAGTGCGAGTGGTGAGCATGTCAGTCATTCTTCCTGACCTCCTTGCATTTATATTTCCTGTGTCATAATCGTTGTGGGGGGCTCGGGTCTGGGTGAGTGCAGGGTGTGAGCTCCCACTACCCTGGGACATCATGACAGGTTGCCAGGAGGAAGTGGAGGGTAAACCGAGGTCCGATTGAATGTGGTCCAAATGATAGACCCCCCTGACAGTGCAAGCCCTGGAGGGGAGGGGGGAAGGGTGGCTCTTCTTCCTCAGCAACACTGAGTCAGAGTTGCTGAGAGATAGGGGAGGTGTTCCCAGGCACGGGGCAGGGCTGGGGTCAGACTGAGCAGGGCTGGGGGCACAGGCAGCTGGGAGCCACAGCACAGCCGTGTGCAGGGTCAGGCTTGGGGTGGTGGGAAAAAACACTCTTTTAGAAAATCAGTGTTTGATACTGGGAATGCGTGACTAATAAAACCCAGCAGGAATAGAATCTCTCAGTGGAATTTTGCAGCATTTATTGTCTCTGTGATTCTGAAACCACTGGGGGCACCTGGGTGGCTTGTTGGCTAAGTGTCCAACTCTTGATTTTGGCTCAGGTTGTGATCTCATCATGGTCATGGGATCGAGCACCGTGTCCGGATTTATTTTTAAAGTTTATTCATTTAATTCTTTGAGAGAGCTAGAGAACCAGCAGGGGAAGAGCAGAGAGAGAGGGAGAGAGAATCCCAAGCAGGCTCTGCACTGTCAGCACAGAGCCTGATGCTGGGCTCAAACTCACGAACTGTGAGATAATGATCCGAGCTGAGACCAAGCATTGGACGCTTAACCGACAGAGCCACTCAGGAGTCCTATGAGTAATTTTAAATGTGCTTATAGCCACATAAAAAAGTACAAAAGGAATAGGTGAAATAAATATTTAACCCAATTTATCCTAAAGAGTATTTTCAACATGTTATCAATATAAAAAGTGTTGTTGTTTTCCTTTTTTGTTTTCACTAAATCTTTGGAATCTGGTGGGTATTTTATAGTCATTTTGAATCTCAGTTGGACCAGCTGCCTTCTAAGTGCTTGGCTGTAGCACATGGCCGGCTGCTACCATGCTGGAT